CTCACAGCCACCAGCAATCAGGACACGAGGGCAGTACCTGGACGGCAGACAGGGGGTGGCTGGAAGGCGTAGAGTGGAGCCCCCTCCCCAGCAGCACCCAGCTCCTCTGCATCACTCAGAGAGCGCAGGAAGCCCCGTGGGGACACCTCAGCCAGAATAACCTATGGACAGCACTCAACACCCTCAGCATCCCTGAGCAGAGTGTCCTGCCCACCCACCCTGTGTCCCCCCGTTACCTGCTCTGGGGGGATGCATCCCTCCCGTGCCACCATCGCCCGCAAGTCGGCCACAGTGCCCAGCAGCGGCACAGCCAGCCCCACCCGCACGAACCGCCAGCGCTCGCACTGCAGCACCAGGGTGACATTGAGAGCCCTGGGGACATCATGGGAGGACACACACCTCAGCCACCACAACCACCATGCATTGTGCTGAGACCTGACACCACTCACGACCATGTTGATGGACCCAAATGCTGGCAGGGTAGCTCCAGCTCCAAGATAGCAAGCTCCTGTGGCAGTGGCTGTCATCCTTCCCCAGTGCTGCCACCACCTCCCCATTAATTATTTAACCCAAATTATACCAGTTACTCTGGTTGGAGCTGACATTCTGCCAGGTGGTGGATGTGCCTCTCACTGTGCTGGTGAGTGGCTGGGGAGGCACAGGCTGGGCTCACCTGGTCTGGCGCAGTGGGATGGGCAGGGAGATGCACAGGAAGGGGTCAAAGGTGTTGCTCTGCTTCAGGCAGTGAGGGCATGTCAGGGAGGACCTGTGAAACATGGATGGGGAGCGTCATTGGAGCAGGCACAGTCCCACCAGAGTCCCCACCCTGGGGCTGCAGTGTCCTTCCACTGGTAGCGTATCCTAGGTACCACATTCCAGGTACTGGATCCTGGCTACTGCATCCCACAGGGCTCAGATGGCTCAGCATCACACAGGGTTTGCACAACCTCCTGCCACAACAAGGTGCCACTATCAGCCCAATGGTCTGTTCACTCTGAAACCCCCACAAGGGCACCCACAGTAACTGGTGCTAGAGAAACCAAAGTCAAATCACAGGGTCGGGGGGTTATCTCACACCCATGTGTGTCCGTGGCCCCAAAACACCCCCCAAATCCTGCTCCTCCTTCCAAAGCAGCCTAGAGGCTTTGGGGTGACCCCAGCCTGCCTGGGTGGGGGTTAAACACGGACAATGCCTTAGGGTGCTGGGAAGGAACAAGACTCCTCCTGTGCAGCAGGGCTATGCCTGGGCTGCAGGGAGAAGCAATGATGGGCAGCAGGATGTCTGCCTGTGACAAGCCTCAGGGAGCCCTGGGGAAGCACTGCTGGTCCCCTGCCCACCCTGTCACCCACAGCCAGAAGCAGGGGTAGTGGTGGCACCACCTGAGGACCATCCCACCAGCAAATTGCACACTGTGATCCTGCTGCACACCCATCTATCTGCTGGGAGCCACCTGCCTGCCACCACCTGCTGGATTCTGCACCTAGTGGGGTGGTATCCCCATCAGCACCACAGGGCCAGATCCTGCACCTGTCACAGCTGTATGTCCATCACCACCACAGGGCCGGGTCCTGCATCCACCACAGCTACACTCCCAGCATCCCCATTCCCATCTGGTCAATGCCACAGTGGTGGCAGCGTCCAACCCTGCCACCTGGACACATGGACACCATCAGCTTCCCCAGAGCTGCCAGCTCTGCCTACGCAGTCCCTGCCATGGCACAGCCGCCAGCTCCAGGAGAGCCCTTGGGACAGTGAGGGGGAACCCATCTGCTTCACTGGGGATCACAGGACCACTGGATAGGAGTGGGTCCTCCTGCCAGTGGAGAGACTTCCCCATTTCCCACAGCATCTAGCAGGAGATGCTCCACCAACGCCTAGCTTAAATGAAACTTTAATGCCAACCACCACTTCACTGCTTATTTCTTTCTAATTCTGTTTTATTTTAAATTTCTTTTTTCCATGCATTTTTATTCAACAAAAAGGGCAAAAAAAAACCAAATCAAAAACCTGACTCCTTGTTATTTGTCACCTACAAGAGCCACTGAGCTCTCCAGGAAGCAGCCAGACAAATTAATAAATCCTTTAGCACACAGATGGCTCTGGCACGTATAAAGGGATAATTCAAGTGCCTTTTTTCATATATAGGGCAAGGGATTAATTGAAAGAGGAGGAAGGGCTTGTGATGCCAGATGTGTCCCCTCATGCTTGCAATGCCGTGGCATGGGGATAGGGTGGCCAGATGCTGGCCCTCCCCGGCATCCCACGAGTCTTAGCCAGATTAACATGTGGGATATCCCATGCAGGGGTGTCCCCACGCTAGACTGCTGGGACAGGCTTGGGACAACTCTGATTCAGAGTCCTGTGACAGAACTACAGCATGGTTTGGGTAGTGAGGGACCTTCAAAGACCTGGCCTTTGGACATTTTCTGCCTGCAGTGGGAAGCAGCTCTGGTGCCTTGGTGGCTGGGATAGTGGGATGGATGGATGGACTCTCCACAGGGTTGAGCACTTCCTGGCCCATCCCTTCCCTGGGCTCACAGAGTCTGGCCACTCAGAGCTCACAGAAGGGTGAAGCCCCAGCCAGGCAGGATCTGGCCCCTCTGCTCACCTGTACTGTGCCTGGAAGTGGCTCTGCACAAAGCTCTGCCCACGGGGGTGCTGGGCAGTGGGTAGGGACCTGCTGGCACCACTGCTCCCATCCTCGCCAGGCTGCAGGGGAAAGAGACAAGCGGGTGAGTGAGGTGCTGGGGTGACCCCCCTACCCTTCAGGGGTCAGTGGCACGTCCTAGTGAACCAAGCCCAGTTTTGGTGTACCCATGGCATGAGGATGGCCTAAAGGTGATGCCAGAGAGACCCCAGCACCTGCTTGCCTGGCACTTCTCCAGGCTACCTGCACACCTTCTCCTGGGGAACTTCAGAGTCCCACCTACCATCCAGCATGGGACATGAAGGATTAATGAGGGGTCTGCAATGGTCAGACCCCCCCCAGGGCCACTCAGTGTCTGAAGCTCCTGGACACCAAGGAATTGGAGCTGGGAATGCATTCAAGCCTAGATGAAATGCTTCAGGAGGGAAATCCTGGGTGCCCCCAGCAGGACCCCAATAGGGGAAAGCTTGGCAGGGGGGAAAGCTGGTCCCCCACAATACCTCCCCCAAGGAGTCCCAGTATCCATGGGCATACTCTGGGTCAGCAGGCCTGGCAAGGAAGTGGACACCCCACCCTTGCACCCTCTGTGTCAGCAAACATGCCCATGGCACTGGGAGTGGCCATGCTGCAGGGAGCCAGGATGTGGGTGAGATGGTGGGACACTGCAGTGGGCAGGTGTCCATGTATCTGTGAGATGAGCTCCTGGAGTGGGTGTGCACATTCCTGTGCATGCACCTTCCTGAGGGAAACACAGCTGGGTGCAAATGGACCACAGGCAAATCACCAGAACCAGACAGCTAAGAAAAGCCGTGGATGGCATCTGCCTCCTGGTCAGGTGGGCCAGCATGGGTTTCAGGGTGCCCAGAAAGCAGCCCTGCTGCCGTGTGTTCCCCAGTGTCCCTACCAGCAGCAAGCCCAGGCACAGCACCCAGCACACAGCCCAAGCAGGGCATCCGGTGTGCCAAACCTGGGCACAGCACCTGGCATAGCACCTGGAACACAGAGCCCAGGCAAGGCACCCAGCACCCTGACCCCACTGTGGGGCTATTGGGGGCCACATGCAAGCACAGGCAAAGGGCACAGTACCTCTCTGGCAGGTGAGACATGCCCCAGGGACCCCAAGAAGAGCTCAGTTCTCTGCTCCACTTTGTAGGGAACAGGGACACTGGGATGTGACTGTGTTACACAGCCAAACCTGCCTGGTTAGTTCACACCTTCCTGCCTGCCCACTGCACTGGGAACCACTGAGTGCCCACACTGAGGACAGGAGGCACTGACTTCACTCCCCAGAGCCTAAAGGCAGAAGAGATGCTGCAGAAAGGAGCATCAGTAGCTTGGGAAAGGACTGGGCTGTTTTGGGGTAAAACAGGGAGTTACTGGTGTTGAGACAGGACTGAAAACCAATGAGGTATTTGGCCAGGAGGTAAATTTTCCTCACGTCATCTGCTGGTGCCAGGTCCTGCTGAGCCCAGTGTGTCCTTATGGTCTGCCCAGGGCTGGGGTCCATCTGGTGTGGCTGAGAGGGAACCTGGACAGTGTCTGTGCCCCAAATGAACCCCCAATTCCCCCCAAAACCCAAGGGGAGGCCTCCTCCTCCAGTCCTCCTGGCAGACAGGCCTTGGTCCCTACAGTCTGCTGAGTGACACAGCAGACACCTTGTGGGCAGACACCTCGTGGGCACCCATCCAACAGCCAGGAGGGCATTTCCACCCCTCCAGCCTGCCTGGCTCCAACCACCTCGATTTCTGCTTCCCACCAGCTAAGCTTCCCAGTCCCTAAGCCTCGGCATGGGCTTGACCAGGAGCAAAACATCCCCCGATTCCCATCTCTGGGTATCCGCACACACCCTCCTCCTACCCAACACCAGGACTTGCACGTGCATGCCCACCTCTGTCCAGACACTTCCAGGCTGTTTACTGGAGGCTCATTGCCCAGCTCAGGCACCCCCTCTCCAAGCACACAGGCATGTGGATGCCACTCAGGTGGCATCCCCCAAAAGGGGTCAAGACGGAGGGAGGCCAAGCAAAACCACGGATGTTAAGGGACACATAAAGGGTCCCATACCCAGAGCCAGGCAAGTACCCCAGGCATTGCCATGGCACCACTGGTATCACACCACAGCCCATGGCACATGTGGGCACATTGCATTTAACAAGTGAGCAACGGGAGTTGCCAGGCTCTCCCAAAGAGGCTGAGGTATACAAACACCTCCCAGAAAGGCAGCAGAGCTGACAGCTCAGGTCAGATGGCTGCAGGACCCTGGCCAAGCAGGACTGCGAGCTACACCACATGGCTGCCCCAGCCAGAGGCTCTGGAGATGGGCACCGCAGCCAAGCCCTCCCCCATGGGATGGAGCTGTGCCCATGCGAGGCTGGAGGACTGGCAGGAGCTGCCCACAGGGACCCTGACCCATGCCCTTGGCCAAAACCATGATGCCCCAAGCTGGGGACAGGGAGGAGGAAGCTGCTCTCAGGCCTCTGTGCCCAAGATGGGCATCATCCCCAAAGTGGGACAGCATGATGCTGAGCCAGGCAGCACCTCTGGAGACAGCAGTCTGTTGAGCTGGGTGTCACCCTCAAAGCAGAGACAGCACTCCTCTGAGCCAGGTGTCACCCCCTGAGTGGGACAGGACTCTGCTAAGCCAGGTGTCACCCCTAAAGCAGGGACAGCATGCTTCTGAGCTGAGGTGATGCAGTGAGTGCCAGCTGCACAAATCCATCTGCTGCAACAGGCAGTGCCCAGCAGGCAGCAGCAGGCAGGCAGGGAGGGAGCAGGAAGGAAGCAAGGATGCAGGCAGGGAGGTCCAGGGCCAGGGTAATGCCTGAGCACAGATGGATCCAAGGAGACTTAATGACTCATTTTGCCAGTAGCAAAGTTGCCAACTGTAATTACAGCAGGCTTAGCTGGAGGCAGGGAGGGATGGGCAGGCTGGATTGCCTCCTGACCAAGCAGCCCCAAGAACTAGGGTGCCCACCAGAACAGGGATGCTCAGCACAGTGGGCTCCCGCTGACACCCCCACATTCTCCCAGCACCCCAACCACGCTGTCCAGCCCTAAAGCACCAGGATCCCATCATCCTTCCACCCATACACCAACCAAACCACATCACCTGTATCCCCATCCATACTGGGGTGGGGATCAATCCCAGCTCACCACCTCTCAGGATATCCTGGCTTCCCTGGTCCCAGACCTGGCACAGACACCTCCGCTTGAGCCAGGGTGTGTGGCCACCCCAGTGGGGCACCCACCTCCTGGGGGCCATGGGTCTGCTGGGCAGGGGAGGCAGCACCCAGGTCCTCATGCATGCGGTCCAGCAGCCAGAGCAGGAACTCGAGGGCGTCGTGCTGCGCGTTGCCCCGAAACTGCGAGCTGTGCTTGGAAACAATGTTCTGCAAGAAACAGGCAGGGTCGGTGTGAGCCACAGGCCACACTGCAGGGCACTAATGAACAGACACTTTGTTAGCACCCACCACAAAACCCATCCCTGCAAAAGCATCAGCCCTCATCCTGCCTCTGCAGGGAAACTGTAGCCACCGTGGGGACAGCGGGAGCAGTGAGGACATCAGCACATACAGCTGAGACAGCAGCTCAATGGCCCACGAGGGGGACACGGCGCATCCCAACAAATCTCAACAAAGCCCATATGGGCAGGACCAGCCCCCAGGCATTCACTGGCGTGACCTGCTCTGTGCACTCAAATGCCATCAGCCTAGTGTGACACTCAAGGAAAGGCAATTGCCAGTGTTGGAATTCTCTGATGCTCCCTCTGGCACCTTGCCCCTAAAACCCAGGTCCCCATGCCACCAATGCCAGCCTGTCTCATCAAACAGCATTTTGGCTAATTAGCATTACTTTCACTCTGAGGTGAGTGGTGCACTGCCGTTGTAGGGGGTTCCCCCCTCAGTGGGGGCTGAAATGGGGAGAACAGGGCTAGGAATGCTGTAAGGCTGAGGCAGTGGCTGGAAAGGATGCAGTGTCACCTACCAGGGTGACATCAGGGCACCAAGTCAGCGCTGAAGCCAGTTTGCTTGTCAAGCTGGCCAAGGTCCCAGCAGTGCTACATGCCGGTGTTTTGTGTGGCCCCAGGGTTATGTGCCACCAGCACATGCCAGCATGCCAACAGCCCACAAGAGCTGTGCACGCACCTGCTGGGGGAGCAGCGTGAGCCAAGATAGGTCCCTGACCCCAAAAAAGCAGGATGCATGACGCTGGGAATCTCTGAGGGGAGTACCCCAAAAGGCAGAGCTGGACATCCGCAAGGACCTATCTCCAAGCCTGGGCTGGTGGTGCCTGCTCAGAGCCAGGAAAGGACAATTTCAGGTGCTCAGCCCCAAAACCAGCACTGGGAGGGAAAAAAACTCAACCATCCATGTGGATTTTAACCAGCTGACACAGTTAAACCCTGACCATCCGCACTGATTTCAACCAGCATGTTAGGACCTGCCAGGATAGGCATCAGACCTCCAGCATTGCCAGGCAACACCCTGAACCACAACCCCTCTGGCCATGGTCCTGCTTGCTCCCAGCAGTACAACCACCCTGGTAAAAGCAGAGGGAGCAAGACCACCTCAGATGGGCGTCCAGCAAAATGAGTCACAGACTTGGCTCTTAAATTAAAAATCTTACCTAGGCAGATTTAAAAAAATGAGGCTGAAATTCATGACAGCTGCAGGTAACCATCCAGAGAAGGGAGGGAATGCAAAGCAAAGGCTGGAAGTTTGCTTGGTTTATTCCTCTGTGCCTAAGGAATGTGTGTGGTTGGAAGCAGAGGCCATGGAATTATTTTGCCCAGCATCACAAGAGCTGGTTGCTTTGCTATGAGGCAGTTAAAGGCAGTGAGCTCCCACAGGAGCACCCCGCTGCCCCCAGCAGTCCCTGCGGGGTGAGTGCTGCTACCCTCCAAGCAGGGACCCGAGGAAGGCAGGGCCCCCTGGGAAAGGGGGGACAGAGCAGTGGGCTCGCCATGCAGAACTAGACTGGGTGCTATCACAGGGCAGGGCTTGGCTTCCCAGGAGCTCCCCTGGGCACTTCGCAAAGTTCAGTGGCAACACCAGGTACGTGCCAAGATGTCACTCGGACACATGTCCCTGAGCGCAGGGAGCTGCAATGTCAGGCTGGACACACTCTCCTGTGCCCTATACCCTGTCCCCAGCTGGGTGCAGGCTCTCAGTGCACTGGCATCTGCCGGGCAGGATGCGACACACTCAGTGACAGAGTGTGAGGCCACTGAGCTGGGCTCCTGGGACAGTATCCTACCTTACCTCACCAGCACAGCCAGCAGCTGCTCACTCTTAGGGCTCCGTGCCATGGCCAGGGCTGGGACCTCGCCCACCCACAGGAACTCATCGCTCAGCTGAAGGCAGTATGGCCAGAGGGGTGATGGCAGCAGGGCTCAGGGACATCTGGCAAGGCAGGGCAGGGTGCATGGGGGAGATGAGGCAGGGGAGTGGGTGATGGGAGTGGGGCAATGCTGATGGGTCCTGTGAATTGGGGGTGACAATGGGTGTTGGTGGGCGCTGAGAATGGGGGTATGCTGGTAGCTCCTGTGAGCAGGGGGTGCTGGTGGGGGTTGAGAGCGGAGGGATGCTGGTAGGTGCTGTGAACTGGGGGTGCTCCTAGGTGCTAGGTGTGTCAGTGGGTGCTGGGAGTGGAAGGAAGCTGGGAGTGGGGGTATGCTGGGGGTGCGGG